ATCAATTTATCAATTGCTCAATTTATCAATTGATCAATTTAACAATTTATCAATTTATCAATGTATCAATTTATCAATTTATCCATTTATCAATTTATCAATTTACCAATTGATCAATTTATCAATTTATCATCAATTGATCATCAATTTATCATCCATTTATCATCAGTTTATCATCAGTTTATCATCAATTTATCTTCAATTTGTCATGAATTTATTACTTTATCAATTTTTCATCAATTTATCATCGATTTATCATCAATTTATCATCAATTTATGAATTTATCAATTTATCAATTAATCAATTAATCAATTTATCAATGAATCAATTAATCAATTTATCAATTCATCAATTTAACAATTTATCAATTTATCAATGTATCAATTTATCAATTTATCCATTTATCAATTTATCAATTTATCATCAATTGATCATCAATTTATCATCCATTTATCATCAGTTTATCATCAATTTATCTTCAATTTATCATAAATTTATCACTTTATCAATTTGTCATCAATTTATCATCAATTTATCATTTAATTTATCATCAATTTATCAATTTATCAATTAACCAATTTATCAATGAATCAATTAATCAATTTATCAATTCATCAATTTAACAATTTATCAATTTATCAATGTATCAATTTATGTATTTATTTATTTGTTTATTTGTATATTTATTTATTTATTTAATTTTATTTATTCATTTAGTTGCGTGTTTATGTATTTATGCATTTATGTGTGTTATTATGAATTTATATTTTTAAGTATTCAGCCATAGTTCAACGATACTGTGTATTTAAGAATTTCGTAAAAATTGGTAGTTTTATTTCTTATCGCAAAATATGGGAAGCGTTTTTTTTTTTATTTTGTCATTTCGGCGCCTATTTCCTTGTTAAGGTAGTTTAAAAAATGTTTTTTTTTCAAAAATTACTTTTTTCACAAATTTGTAACTTTTGAACCGGCTCGATTTCAAAGATCAAAATATCAAATGAAAGGGAATTAAAATTATATTTGTATTAAACAATTGGGATTCTGTATTGCAAAACATTGATTGAATGTGTTTTTGTGTGTTTTTCATGGTTTTTAGACAAAGAGCGTAATATGTTTTTTTATATTTTTCCTTGAAAATTTAGGCTTTTTTACACAACATATAAAAAAATCAGTGATGTGCTTTTTTTTCAATATTGGGTTACATTTTTTTTTAAGTTATCAAGTTTTGGGTGTTCGCTCAATACTCCCATGCGACTAGACTACTATGCGTCGTGACCATGTCACAATCGCTATAAATCAATGGAGATGCATGGGAGTATCACCGGTTGGAAACTAACGATTTAAAATTGGCTCACTAATTGACTAGCCTATTGGTCGCAAGCAAATCGATTAACGTACCCCATTCTAGTCGAAATTCTAGTACTAAACTAACTATGTATGTTTTGATTCGCTATGGAAATTTGACAGATAAAAAGAGGGGTTAGTGGTTTTTCCTATGTTTCGAGGGGTGAATCGATTAGCTTGGGACCGAAGAGAGTACCAGAGCTGAGCCAAAAAGTTGAGCACGTTATTTCGGGACCTTCTAGTCTTAGAGTTACCGCTATGGTAGTATCGTCGCCAAAACCCAAAACTTGCTAATTTCAAAAAAAAATTAAAACTACATTTCCCAACGAATTTAGTCAATGAAGTGCAAAAGTAACCAACAAGCACTTTAAAGTTGCAGCCTGTCAGCATTATAGACGCTTATAATTTCTATCGATAACAGTCGACCAGCCGATGGTAAGACCGAAAAAGGCGAAATAATTGGCCAGTAAAATGCTAGAGAAGAGTCTCCAAATAGCTTTCACGATTGCTGATATTAGACCTGAAGATAAATGTCAAACCGAGTCAAAGTAATTGCATGTTCTACTTTATCGACATTGAAAGGAGCAAATGTAAACAAAAATATAGATAGAACTTTTCATCTCTTTCACTCTTACACACCATGCTTCCGACCAACACCAAAAAAACCGACCAACTTGAAATGACAGATCACTGCATCAATTTAGCATTATAGAAAGCTTACAAGCATTACAAGTTCAACCTTTAGTAGTTGCGTTATATGTGATTATAGGGCCAGATGTCGATATTTGTAAACCAGGTCACTGCTGATCTGTAGTTTGCGAATATAAGGAATTCTGAATTAAAGTAGACGCTTTATTATTAATCCTTGTGGTTACTTGGGTGGTCGTAATTTGTAAGAGAATATTGCAAGAGAAAATTTGCACAGCCTCTAATGACTTGATCTCAACTTTTCATCAATTTCAACGAAAATTGACGGTGCTTTTTGTAAGCATCTGTCACAATTTCCAAATAAATAGATCATGTTCATTGGTCTCAACTGTTGGTGAGATTAAATTACAAGGAAATCAAACTCAGATGCCGACCTTTTAATTATATTGGTCTTAATTGCTATGAAATAAAATTGGTCAGATTTACAAAATAAATAATCCACAACTTCGAATGAAATTTAAAAAAAAAAATAAACGCACTAAAAACCATAGAAGCATACAGTTTTGATCTGCAATATGAGGAGGTTTCACGGTGATCATGAGCAGGGATGGAAAATCATTTACATTCATTTCGTGCATTCATTTACATTCATTTGCCTCTAACTTTTTTCATAAACCGAATACCGTAAAATGATGTATGAAGCTTTTGTAGCTTTTGATATTAACTACAACTTTTGAAAACTTCTCAAATCTGAATCTCTTATGCATGACGAAATAGAGCTGGCAGAACATGTTATTGTTTTTCAAGGAATGTAATTTACATTCCCTGAAAAACAATGGTGGGTTCTTATCGCTTTGATTCATCATACATAAGAGATACAGATTTGAGTTGTTGACAAAAGATGTAGCTTATATCAAAGCCTACAAAAGCTTCAAACACAATTTTACGGAATTCTGTTGGTAAAAAAGTTAGAGGCAAATGAATGTAAATGAATGCATGAAATGAATGTAAATGATTTTCCATCCCTGATCATGAGCCTAAAAAGGTGCCCATGGACCAGCTTTTGGCACGACTTATTATTCATTTAAGTCGGAGTCGGAGTCGGACTCGGTATTTTTTTTTCGACTCCATCTTCAACTCCTCATGTTCAAAAATATATCTAACTCCGACTCCGATTCAGATTTCACAGTTGTGATATGTGTATCGAAAAATCATGATGAAAGTTATGAAAATTGGTTGATAGTGGAATTTTATTTAGAATAGTTGAATTAATTCCACTCTGCGTTTGCAATGGAAAATAATATCCTTTTTTTTCTCTTAAAAAATCAGATAGAAGTTAGAATAGTCCTTGCAATACAATGAACTACTTCTAAAGGAAGTTGAAGATATTTAGACTTCATTGATGATTACCTTCTATATAGTACAGTCAACTCGCCTTAACTAGGTGAATATCCAGTTTAATCCAGTCGTTAGTCTCTCAGATACGATATTTGTAATACTTGTATCATGGTAAATAAATGTAATCTGGTATTTTCTCGTGAATCGTGGAACTGTATGGAACTCATAACACCCAAGTAACCAACAAACCCACAAATTTCCCATTTTTTTTTTTTTTAATATGAAGGTACTTTTTGTTTTCCTAATGTTGAAAAATGCGTCCGGCTCCGACTCCGATTCCGACTCCACAATCCTGATCTAAAATGAATATTCAAGACGCATGAATAGGTGATCTAACTAAAATTGTAAGTTATACCGCATAAATTTACATACAAATAGCAAGGCTTAAGATTGGTCATCCCAAGGTTATAATCCGACCATGTTGAAGAAATGGGCTTAACACGGAGAATTGTTGAATATTATTAGGTTTTATTTCTTCGAAATCAGTTCAAATACAACCAGGACAAACCACCTAGTTCACCTTCAATTACAAAGCACTATTTATAAAGCTATAAGACATAATTACAAAAGAAAATTGTGTGCCCATTAGACACATTGATGCCAGAGCACAATTATCCAAGTGAGTAACCCTAATAATGCCTCACGTCAAACAACCTTTTCTAGTGACAATAGTCACACTTAGGCTAGGCAATCATAACACCGAAATCTAAGAATCACTTCCGCCCTCTGACAAACGAATTACCTAATAACAGACTAATTACACACCAATTAAGAGCACCCCGACACAGACGTTTGCTGCCTTGATTCTCGTGCTCTGGTTCGAAGATTCTCCACCCCGGGCAGAGTAGAACCAATCCTATTCTGTACAGCCTCAGCACAAACAGCCGATCAGCAAATATTTGTACACCGTCAGGTCCGACCTGACAAACAAGGAACTGAACGGATGCCAACCCTCGACTCAATTTGCGTATAGTCACGCTAGAACCGTAGACATAGAAGGTGGTAGCAACCAACTGAAGACAAAAAAAAAACTTAATCCTCACTTCAGACACGCTGATCTCCAGTTGATATTGATTTCTTGAGCACTCCTTAATGTCCTGTAAGATCAACTCGAAATCGAAATATAGATTGTTTTGACAATTATCGAAACCCACAATTTCAGCTCACATGATATGGGCCAATTAGATTGCGAAAAAGTGAAGGCTTCTGTTACTGTTGCTGCTGCTACTGCTGCTCAATACTGCTTTTGGACTCTGTACGACTGGTTTCTCCTTTTTCGAATCCTTCTTCTCGCGCGTAAGAACACTCGGGACTGGTCATTAATTCAGACGGGTTTTTTTTTTCCTTTTCGCGGACCCACAGTTTTGCAATCATAACCACACAAACACACCTTAAGGCTTTCGTTCTGCTCTTTTAGTATTTCACAAGTGCGAAGAATTCCACTGCTTTTTCTTGTTTTTCATTCTTTTGAACAATTTCTGCAGCTACGCGATCACATGTCACTTAATTCGGGTTTCTTAAATACCCCTTTTTTCCCCCAGTTGCCCTCATTTGCGCGCACTGTCTGAATGAAATTCATCACCATCATCATCATTCCCACACTACTCACAATTAATTATTCCAGGGGAACCAAAAACAGAAACAGAACCACACCGGCCCAGCACTCAAAAGCACAATCGACGAAATTTCTGCTTCAGCAGAGAACAGGTTACTTGCTTCCGCACGCAACGAAATCTTTCACTCGACTGCGATCCTCTGGCTCAGGTTGTACTTTTCAGAATGTTGCGCGAGCACCCGGGCGCGAAGATCAAGTGTGTGGCGATCGTCGGATCGAGAGTTGGCACAGCAAGCAACAGCGCGCGATCGCCCCTCGGCATCCCTACACCACACCACACCGAAACCACATCACACATTCAAAACACTAATGCGGCGCGGTGCATATACTTTACCTACACTAACATGCAATACCGATGGAATGGAGTGCAGAAGAAGACGACGGCGAGACGGAAATCGACGTCGACGCACAGTTCAAATCGGACGTCGCGACGGTGCAACGTTTTTGAAGCAGTGGCGGTCACCGCGTCGTCGTCCGTGATAGGACTTTTGAAATAAGCTCAGGTGACAACGCGCCAGTGCGATGCAATAAGTGCAACAAATATAGGAAACAATCGCTATCGACCGGGGTGTCGCAATCACTACTACACGTGAGCGTGCAACATCGCGCGTGTTTATATCGAAGATAGGGATGTTGCTGTTTGGTGTTGAAAATTAAATATAGAAAGTAATATTTTCCTATTAATGTAGTTAAGAAGTTCAATCGCAGGAGCTTTACGGAGCCGATATTTCATTGATTGTAGTATAACAAGAGTAAACTACAAACAATGAAATTCATACTATACGTACACACTAAGATTATTTTACCGAAATCTGTGAAATTTTACCGAAATCTCAACAGCTCAACGTTCGGTAAACAGTTTAGTTTTTTTTATGTAAGACATTTTGCATCCATAGATGCATTCATGACTCGAAGTTTTTTCACAGTTTTCCTGTAATTATTTAACGAATATCTGGGAAAAATCACAGAAAATCTGTGAAAAATCACCGAACGTTGCTGAGATGTCGGTAAAATTTCTCAACTTTCGGTAAAATAATCTTAGTGTGTATGTACGGTTTACTCGAGGGGAAAAAATAAACATTTTGGGAGAACCCGAATAAAAATGTACCATACAAAAACAAGAGAACTTATTGTTACAATGCAATAAAATCCATTGTACCAACCTTAAATTGTAGTGCCAAAAGCAATAAAAATACAATAGAACTTATTGATTTGTACTTCCTGCGCTTTGATCAGAGAGCGTATAGGGCATCGTTGTGCCAGGTTGGTCGTGGCACATTTCGAGTATGAGAGAATGATTACACTTTGCTCAAAAGTGCCTGAGTAAAATGCAAGTACCTACTTTCGATGATAACCCGTAGTTGCGATAGTGAAGCTGTATACCCAAATTCTCGTTTATGTCCGGGCGTGTTTGCTCGAAACCTTTTTATTTAATTTTGTGTGGGGGATGGGTTTCGGGTGTGGATGGGCATATGGGTGATAATGTGAAGTTTACGTTAGGATAAAGTTGAAACATTGAAAAATGTATCGCTTCAGTTTGAGAAGTACTTCACTTCGCAACCGATGAACCATTCTGATGGCCCACATTACCGTGCAGGCACCGTGGGTTGGCAGGATCCAATATGGGACAGCTTGATGTTTATTACTGATAGTACAGTTAAAACTGTATTTTTGAGCTTTATCTCTATATATTACTTAGTGTTTCCTATCATGTTGGTGTTCGCTGATTCAATAGCATTGAGCTGTCCATAGTTGGGCGTTGTTGATTTTGTGGTACTTGCACAACATTTTATGTGAGTACCCAAGTAACCATATAATCACAAAATAACTTTAAATGTAGGTTCAGAGTGAGACAATGTCACTGAGATACGATATGGTTAGTTGGGTATTCAGATGAAACTATTACTTTAAAAAACTGATCCTGGTTGTACCTCTTTTTCGTTTTCACCGTTTTCACACGCAAAAAAAACCGTTCTTTTATTCGTGAAGAAAAAAAATCATGATTCCGTGAACTGCTAGTTCATCTGAATTCATGACTTTATTCCCGTAAAAGTGATTACTTAATTCGGATTTTCAAGACTGTAATCACAAATCCATGAACATAGTTCACACCTATTCAGTGCAACCAAAAAAATCTTAACGCTATATAAAATTCAAAATGAAATCATGATTTCGTGAACCATGAACCCATAAGCGTGATTTCGTTCCTGCTGAACGAGCAGTTGTTCATGACCAGTTGTTTGGCAGGCAAGATTCGAGTTCACTTATATCAGCTAGATATGAACTATTCCGGCGGTGGCAGCAGCGAGCGGTGGCAGTAGAATTGGTAAACCAACGAGTGCTGAATTCACCAATCAATATATTTTATACGGCGAATGATCGTCTAGTTTACGGGCACTGGTACAACAGCAATTTCGTCTAGCTTCGGAGTGAACAGTGGAGCCGGCTCCAGTGCAGGTGTTTTGGGCGCTAGTTGCTTTCAAGAGTAGTTTGGATTTTTTCCCCGGGACTGGCTTTGTCCTACGCTTCTTCTTCTGTATCGATGACTACCTTGGCAGGTTCTGGTCTTTCGTCGTATTTTAGCTGCAGATTTTTCGGTGGTGCTAACGGTAGATCTTGGTAAACTACCAGCAGTGGTGCACCGATTATTTCATGGACAAAACATTGACAATAATATTATTGTTTACATTTTGAAGCTCATGAACCGTGCTCCCGTTTTCTAGCACAGGTTCACGTTATCATCTCATGAACTGAAATCACGTTTACCAGAACTGAAAATCATGATTTTCAAAACAGAGTTCACGTTTCTATGACTTCTATTACCATTGCTGGTGCCCGGTGCACCTAGGGTTACCATATGGTATCCTAAAGGAGGACATGTCCTCCTTTTTCAATAATTTTTCTACATCCTCCTTTTGCTCGAAAATGTCCTCCTTTTTATTCCTTGAACTTTTTCCAGTAACATATTCATAAAATTGTTTTCAAAGAGCGTTGTTTGCAGAGCTTATTTGCTTAATAGATCAGTGCACGAAGATTTGTTGCACTCTTCTCTCACCCGTAAATTTTGACAGTTTTGGGTGGTTTGTTTTGGCTCCCATTCGTTGCCTCAGAGACAAAATGATAGGAACCAAAAAGTGAGGTTAGGGACCGTGCACTGCTCTATTATGACGTAACCTCATCTTATCTAGGGTGGGACTAGGAGTATTGAGATGTTCAAGTCCGGTTGTATTGGTGCGATATGTGAGAGCGTGTTAATGAAAACCCAAGGAAAATACATAACAAATCGCTGTCAAGCTTATTTTGATACACGCTATTTACTAGCAAAATTTGGGTAGAATCCATCCAGATCGGTAAAAACTGAAACTACCCAAAAAATGGGTAAAATGTGTTTGAAGTGACAAGTTGACAAATGAACAACGTCGATCGAATTCATGTCGATGTTCTTCATTTTTCAACTTGTCACTTCAAACACAGTATACCCATTTTTGGGTAGGTTCAGTTTTGACCGATATGGGTGGATTCTACCCAAATTTGGGTAGTTTTGAAATAGCGTGTACATTTAATTTCATACATTTTTTAGGTTAGCCAGAGGAAAATAATAAACAACTTTACACGGCGATATACTCGCTGTTGTGCGTGCGTTAAACGTCACTAATCTCTATACTACAGCTGTCAACCTCCCTACATTTAGGCTGCGGTTCATTTGGTGAATTTTAATGTTATAATGTTCGAAAATCTCTCTATTGTTGATCCTGTGATTTTCGAAAAAGTGCTTGTCAAAATTGATTCCTAGTCTGACAGGAATAAGTCTGGTACAATAGCAGGTTTATTTGAAAATTTTCTATCTGTCAAATTTAAGTTAACATTCACCAAATGGAACACAGCCACACATATTGAATCTAACATGTGTTTGATTTTGACGTTCTGGTTCTATGGGATTTTAGGTATTTCAAGCATAACTATTCAAATCGACGTATCTGATTTTAGTACCAGCTAGTAGGGAAAAGATTTCCCTACCTGACAATGGTGTTTGTTTGCGTGGGTGAGTTAGCAGTTAAGACAAATCGTCGATTGAAAAGATTGTTTACAAAAGTAGGTACGTCGATTTGAATAGTTACGCTTGATTAGCCTTCGGCTGAAAATCTCTCACATAAAGATTTTAAAAAAAGTTACGCTTGATTTTTTTAGTCCGCTGCCTTACTGAGAGCGGAGAGGCACGCGTGAAATCGAATGAAAGAAATAATATCCATAAAAAGAATTATTTTGTATAGAACGCTAAGCGCGCCTCTTCGCTCCCACTATGGCAGCAGCTTCAGAGTCCTGTGCTGAATCAATGATTAAAATTAACAGATTGCTTAAATGTTCCATGTTGTTATCAATCAGCAATGACATGATAAAAGATGGGATGGTAAGGCTGTAAATCTGTAGTTTTCATGCAAATCCGCTGGACTAGATCATTTCCAAGTATCAAAAATCAATTATGAAAGCTAGCTTGATGCATTTTCAGAAGTATAACGAGAAGATGAATTGAATTGGTAACGACTACAAGTTATAAACAATCTCAATTGAACCTTTGCAAATCACGAATTTTGTGATAGCGCACATATTATTAAAACATTTGATAAAAACTCATTGTCCTCATTTAATGTTAAGCAAAGGAATCATTGTCCTCCTTAATCTCCAAGCCTCAAATGAAATTTCCTCCTTTTCAAGTTTTTGATATGGTAACCGTGTACCGTAACTCAGGCGTTACGATTATTTTGTGGAACAATGTTCACGATTCCATGAATTTTATTCATGGTGTATATTCGAAAACGAAAAATTTACTTGTTCCGAAATTCGTGACTTGAGGTTGACAAATTTCAGAACGGATTTTTTCCCGTGCATGTAACACTATTTGATATTAATAACCGCACCGAGCGTTCATTCCGGGTGGTGAGCGAACCTGAAGAAGAACAAGATAACTATACAGAATGAGTGGTACCATAGCGCCCCTTCTCGGAACGAGTGTACCTGTGGACCTGGTCTACGATTCAAAGTTGGCTTCTGTGATGATCAGTATCACATAAAAGGTAAATAGGTAGCAACATCTTCATCGAAATGTAAGTATTATTGACAATAATCATAACAACCGACTTGCATAAGTGATGATATAACATAT